TACAAGTCAAAATCGCTGACCTTTTATAAATAAGGAAAATCTTACCAATGTCCTTATTCTGTAAGGAGCAAACCTCAATTGATCCATCTGACGCCTTAATTTAGGGCATGTGACTTATCTCAAAGTTAAAAGGTATATTCTAATAGAAAACACTTTAAAATTACAGAGTTACAGTTCTTTACCTGAAACTCCCTAGGCTGGCTAAGTTTTACAAATCATAATTTCTTGGATTTTACAAATATAATATTGTATTTATAATTTCCATAATCAAAGTAAAAGTGTATAATATCAAAAATCAATATAATCATAGCATAATACAACCAAACAGTAAACTTTCTGCAGAACTAAATTTTCATATGAAGTTGAATAAACACAATAGTCCCCCCTTATCCATGAGAGATGCATTCTAAGACTCCCAATGGATGCCTGAAACCACAGACAGTACCAAACTTTATATTTTTTCTTATACACACACACCTATGATGAAGTTCAATTTATAAATTAAACACAATACTCTTGTGCTTTAGGGACATTATGAAGTAAAATAAGGGTTAAAGACACTGTGATACCCTCTGTTTCTGATAACCCAGACTGCTAATAAATGAATAAGGGGCAGGTACTGTGTATAGTGTAGACATGCCTTACCAAGGAATGATGCATGTCCTGGGTGGGACAGGGTAGGATAGTTCAGGATTTCATCATGCTACTCAGAATGGTGCAGTTTAAAACTTATCAACTGTTGATTTCTGGAATTTTCTATTAAATATTCTGTAGTTGACCATGGGAACTGAAACTATGGAAAGAAAAACAGTAGTTAAGAAGTAACTACTGTACTATAAATTGTCTCAGTTAAGATCTAGTTTTGCCACCAAAGGAGTTATATACAATGTTTGATTTTTAGAAGTTTTTGAATTTTAGAATTATGGATAAGGGACTGTAGACCTTAATTATAGAACTACAGCCTATTTATTTCAGAGATTCTGAAAAGTAATAGATCATGTTGAAGCTGAAATACCTGATGTTAAGGGATGAACACAACTACTTTCATTTGTCTTAGAAAAAAATGAATGATACAAGAACCTTTTGCAAATTTCAAACTTTTATGCTATAAAGTGGGTTTATGGTAAGGAGTCAGCTGCTCCTTTGTACACATTCCTGATCCTGGTGACACTGCTAGTGAAACTGACTTCTCTCTTTCCATCCGAATGCTGCTAGAGAAGCATCAAAGGTCTCTGTGCAACAAACTTTCTTAGAAGCCACTACAAGGTAATGTTCCACCAGCAGATGACAATAAAAACAAAAGGTAACTTGTCATTTAAGCCCTTTTCTTCCCAGGGCTCTGTAAAATCAACTTTTCCATTGATGGAACGCACCTATGGGTTGACCAGATCAAATGGAACTTACCTGAAGATTGCAAGCCTGCTACTTCCCTTGGATTTGGCTCGTCTGCAGTTTTGAGAGTCCCAGGCTATCTTGTGCAGGAATATCGTCCTTATTAGGTACTTGGAAAACAGGGCTGGTTTTGATTCTATGCCACCCCAAGTGTATAAGCCCAACTAAAGGTACCATGACAATCAGAACTTTGTAGTTTCTCCAGAAGTTCTGAAGGCTCATAGTACTTCAGCATAAATGCACCTAAAAAAAGTTAAAGGAGAAAAAAAATAACTCTAAAAAACCGACTCCCTTAAATTACATCTACCAACTACTATAAGTAGCATATTGCATTCTAATAAAAGCTGACTATTAGAACATTTTTAATTATAATAAATTGCAACGTTAATAAACAAAAAGAGCTATGTGTAGATACAAATGGATAGCAGGGAGTCATGTTTGGGAATCTTATGAAACAATACTGAACTTTTAGTTCAACAATTATTAAAGGAGCAATGTCGCCTGCTGAGAAATCTGTATGAACTCTGGAAACACGAATGGAGTATTCCTTAAATATTAATGTACTCTCTTCTGAGTCACCATGAAGTTAGAATATTTTTTAAAAAATTACACTTAGTCACAGTTGTAAGAAAAGAAGCAAACAGTAATCCATAAATATATAGTAAGAATTTAGTTAGGTTCTATATTCTGACAAGATATGAATGATGCTGTTTTAATTGATACTCAAACAGTCAAGCATGGATTCCAATTGTAGCTGAAGACTTTCGGCTTGGATGCTATGAATTAGAATGAATTAATGCCATTTCCACATTTATGTGTGGAGCTACTGAATTTTAGAGTGTTTGCCCTGAATTACTAGTAACCCTACCCTAGTGGGTTACTGTCAACACAGTTTACATGAAAAATTGGGGCTAGAAACTTCTCTGTTGTTACAAAGCTAGTTAGTGTTGAAAACATTTTTTTTTCCTGTCTTTGATTTCAAAAGCATAGAGTTGGGGCCCAGGAAGACTGTGTTCTGATATAGCACTGGGTTTGGGTACTCAAGTCTAGACAACCTCTCAAGGTTCCTTATGCTTTTATAGCATTAGTCTTTAGTGATTAGCTTGAAGACTTGTGATAGGGATGGTCGCATTTTCCAAGTGTCCTCTGAGCACAGAAGAATAAGGACCGCTCCGTCACCTGGGAACACGCTAGGAACTGAGTTCAATTCATAAACCTGTATGTGTTTTAGTACTAGGAAATCAAATTTAATTTTATTTAAATGCCATTAGAAAAAATATCTGAACAGAATTTCTACTTATTCCCTCCCCTTAAAGCCAAGATTTAAAAAAATACAGTAGTGATAAGCTAAATAGCCTGAAGTATCTCTGTGTTCTGTGTATCTACTAAAAATAAGTAGAAGCCTTCAAGTCTCACTCTTATGTATATATATTATTCTCATATTGCAAGGGTACATGTCAAATCTATTGAGAGTATAAATGTCTTAACACAATAATTAGTAAGTGACGTGAAGGCTATGTTAACCAGTTTGATGTAAGCATTCCAATTTGTATATAAAATCAGCACACTGTACCCCATAAATGCATTAATGTACACAATTATGATTTAATAAAATAAATTAAGAGGGGAAAAAAACCTATTTTTCTCCGAGGTGTAAATTCACATTTTACATGGACTTTGCTTCTAAACTAAAACTACTACATGGAGGAAACATGATCTACTCTGTGACCAAGTACTTGCTGGCCTTTTCCTTTCCTAGCGTGCTCTGGTTTTCCACACACTTTCTGCAATCCTTAGAGACGATACCTTTTGTTGACATGCTTATGTTCTTCTCTTTTTGGAGGAAACCCTTACAGGAACTATACCATAATGAAGTTTTACTGTGAAGCCGACTGTGCAAAGCCATTGGAGACTTGAGATTTGAGGATACAACAAAATAATTAGGGGAGGACTTGGGTGGAAGGAGGGAGTTAAGAGGGAGGAATTCTAATAAGGGTTACTTCTTAGAGGGCCTGTATTGATTAAAAAGTGGCATTTCTGTCTACAAAACATCTAGAACTAAAGATTTAGCAGATAGTGCCATTCATATGCAGTCTCAATATTTAAGGTGACGTTAGAACCTCTAACTCTGTCTCTCAACATGAGTTTATCAAGTCACATGACTTTTCTCTCCTTTTTTTAAAGAGTTTTTTTTTTTTTTTTCATTTTTTAAGACAAGCTGTCGCCCTGGGTAGAGTGCCATGGAGTCATCATAGCTCACAGCAACCTCCAACTCTTGGGTGCAAGTGATCCTCTTGCCTCAGTTTTTCTGTTTTTAGTAGACATGCGGTCTTGCTCTGGCTCAGACTGGTTTTGAACTCATGAACTCAAGACCAGCCAAAGAGATTGCTTGAGTTCATAAGTCACTGTACCCAGCCAAAGAGATTGTTCTTATTGTGTTGCCCAGGCTGGCCTCAGTCTCCTGGGGCTCAAGTGATCCTCCAACCTCAGCCTCCAAAAGTAACTGGGATTTGAGGTATACACTATTACGCCCGACTAAATCACATGACTTTTGACACATGATATCTCTGTTATTCACCATGTACCTCTTCATGAATCATTAAACTTAATAGTTGTCAGGTTTTTCCTGAATCATAAACTTTAAAAAGACAAAAAAGTTTGGACAAAATTAAACTATAATCTATATAATACCAATGTCTGGGAAAGTACTGTACTGTTTTCTCCAAGTGGATAACAGAACGCATTGTGGTACACTGCTAGTCATATTATATTAACAGTGGTTTTGTTTACTTGTCCAAAATTAGAGGACAAAAGCATCTATATCTGTCAAAACCACACCTATGACCTTCCTTGAGAAAAGTGAAAATGGGATGCAAAATGAGATCAAGTTATTTCCCTATACCTAGTGACTCTTTGGGTTCCCTCTGAGTTAAAGACAAGACAGGTGCTCCACTTTACGTATGACCTGCTTAACAGTCTATTATTCTTTCCACTTGGATAACTTAAGGATCTATGCATCTTTTTCAAGATTTAGGTTTGGTTAAACCTGGAAACCAGTATCTATTTTAGCTAAAAACTCATTATTTGGTAAACATCACTGAACCCCAGTATAGAACTTCCTGTTTAGTAAATGATGTGGACTGACTTATGCTTAATTGCTTTAATGTTTACTAAGCACCTACATGTCCTCATATGTCAGGGCTTTTTACTTTACAAAGGACCTTCAGAGGTACTCTGCATTTAATCCACATGAAAACACTTAAGAATCACCACACACATACAAGAACCCATTTTACCCAGGAAGATGGAACTAGCAACTAACACTCTTTTAAAATAGTCCAAGTATATAATTTAAACCTATTTCATTTCTTCTATTTAAGTGCTTTCCAGCACATTGCATGTTTTCTATTGTATGTACAACCAACTTCTCAGGGCCAGATACAATAGGCTTTACTAAATAAGGCCTGTCATTAGTTGTACAAAAAAAGACAATATTAATTTTGAAATTTCATATTTGATATGCTAGTTAATAAGGCAATGTGTTCTAAGTTTGATCATAAACCTCTTGTAGAGCTTTTAAACACAAACATATTTGGGGGATAAAACTTTTAACACATTTTTCCTTCTCAGTTCTGTGGGGTTTTTTTTAGTATTACTGTCCTTTCCTAGTAAATATAGTATGGACTTACAAGTTAGCAAATATCAACATAAGGGAAAAAAAGCTATAATCTTTTTGGTTTTCAACAAAAATAGGATAATATACATACTGTTTTCTAATCTTTTCTCTTCCCAAGAATATAAATCTCCATTCTTATTTTTAATAGCTGATTATATGACGATATCCTGATTTGGCCAATCCTGACTAACAGAAATTTGAGATTTTTTTCAATGTTTTATTGCCAAATACCATGGTGATAAATATTCAAATAAATATTCCAGAGTCCATGGTTATAGGCTTTATATGCTGCTTTTCAAAATACAAAGAACAGATTTCTTAATTATTAGCTCATTTTTCAAATGAACTTGGCAAGATTTTTAAAACCTTAACTTTTATTCAAGCAACAGAGAGACTGCAAGATCCAATTTGGAAAACAGAAAGTTGAGCTGATTAGTTTACCCTGAGATGGTCCTTCCCTCCAAACAAGCCATTCTAAGTGGTACAAACTATCTCATGGACACTAGAGATTCCTGTGTTTGAAACAAAAATTTTCCAAGAATGCACTCAAATGATCAGATTTGATGAATAGTAACAGGCTAGTCATATTATATTAACAGTGGTTTTGTTTACTTGTCCAAAATTAGAGGACAAAAGCATCTATATCTGTCAAAACCACACCTATGACCTTCTAACAGTTGAGATTAGCTGGGCTAATTTTAATTCCATTTTCTTTAATTTATATCTCAGTATAAATGACAGTCAGAGATTAATGAACAGAAGGGGGAGAAGCTTGCTATACTTCTACCTCATTACAAACACTGTACTTTTTTTTGGTAGCTATAAAGGCCAAAAAGGAAAAACACTGAGATAGGAGCCATGCAATATGAAAAACAGAGACAAACATGGCTGGATACTTCCCAGGCAGCTCTCATGCATACATATCAGATCACACATTACTGTGCCTAGGACAATAACTTTCCCTCTGCCCAATCTGCATTAAAGAGATTACTGTCTCTTCAATTTCTAGCCTCAAGGGCCTCTGACTGGCTTCCTGTAAGTTGTTACATTTTAAGCTAACAGGTTCTTGGTGACAGAACTAGACAATAAGGCAATGGATGAAAAGCCAGTTACACTTCCTGGAACACAGTAAACAGCTGGCTCTTCCTACCAGACTGTTGGACGTAGCATA